TTTTTTTAAAGATTTATTTATTTATTTAATAGAGAATGTGGAGGAGGGGGAGGGGCAGAGGGAAGGGGAGGCAGAGAATCCCAAGCAGACTCCACACTGAGTGCAGAGCCCGATGTGGGGCTCGATCCCATGATCTTGAGATCATGACCAAGAGTCGGATGCTTAACTGACTAAGCCACCCAGGCGCCCCTTATTTTGCGTATTTTTTTTTTAAGATTTTATTTATTTGACAGAAAGAGAGCAAAGTAGGGGGAATGGCAGGCAGGGGGAGAGGGAGAAGCAGACTCCCTGCCAAGCAGGGAGTCTGATGTGGGGCTCGATCCCAGGACCCTGAGATCATGACCTGAGCCGAAGGCAGACGCTGAATGACTGAGCCACCCAGGTGCCCCATATTTTGTGTTCCACATCTTTTTTTAAGATTTGCACTCTTCCAGGGCAGTTAAAGGAAAAGATAGCTTGATTCCTTTCTGGCTCCAGCGCTCTAAATTTCTTCATCTCATGTTTCTACTTCACCCTATTCATTTTGATGCATGAGTAAAGGGAAAGGAGAGCTTACTGAGTTGGCACCTTGAGTATAAATGCTGGAACCTCCTGACGGGCATCGGGCAGCATTGTGACTCCATTCTTGAGCTGAGGTCGAAGACTGCATTAAGAACTGAGTGATAGAGGGGCGCCTGGGTGACTCAGTCAATTAAGCATCTGACTCTTGATCTCAGGTCTTGATCTCATGATTGTGAGTTCCAGCTCCACTTTGGGCTCCACGTTGGGCATGGAACCTACTTAAAAAATAAAGTAAAAAATACATTAAAAAAAAAAAAAGTAATCATAGAAAGAATTGAGTGATACAGTGCCATCCTCAGAGCCTTGCAAACACTGAGCAGCTCATGATTTGCAGCATTACATTTGATTATAGAAAATTAAAATTATTCTTTCAGGTGCCTCACAACACATTGCAATGGAAGAATTTTATTTCCCACTCAGTTTAAATAAAGCTCTTTTTTCTCTTTTTAGATATGGCGAGAGCTTTTTTCCCCACTTCATGCACTGAATTTTGGAATTGGGGGAGATACAACAAGACATGTTTTGTGGAGACTAAAGAATGGAGAACTGGAGAATATTAAACCTAAGGTGAAATGAAACTAATGTTTTAAAGAGTATCTTTAATCTTGAGTCTTTTCCAGGTAGAAAATTGTCTGAAACTGCTAGTAAAAACAAACTGCTTCTTTAAAGCATTATTTCGCTACTGTCTTTGCTTTGTGCCCCTTTAAGATAAATGATGCTGTTGTCCTTGCTTAAGAACATTGCAGATAGGTATTAAGAAATCAGTGTTTTGCTTGCTTAGGTTGTATTTGTAGTTGTTAATAATGGTCTTCTTCAGCTGTAGGAAGGGATTTGATGCTCATGAGGCACGCTATTCTGTAGGCCTAAATGCAGCATCAGGGGAATCTGCTCAGACGAGGGCCATGGTGGCAGTGCCATGATTCACTTCAGGAAGTAATTTTGGAGCTGTTTAACCATATAAACAAATTAGTAAGCAAGGCCTCCCGAGTTTTTCTGAAGAAAATTTGAAGCAGATACGAACAAATGTTCATAAATGTGTACCCCACTACCTTAACACATTATAAATGTCCTGAGTTGGCACACTGTGCATGTAATTTTTTTCAGCTCTAAACAAAGAAAAAAAACAAAGTTGATAACAGTTGCTTTGTTGAAAGTATTTTATTTTTTGCCTTTAGAAATTTTTTTTTAATTTTTAAAAAAGATTTATTTATTTTAGAGAGAGAGCATGACTGGGAGGGGCAGAGGGAGAGGGAGAGAGAATCGCAAGCCAACTCTGTGCTGAGCCCAGTGCGGGCCTTGATCTTATGACCCTGAGAACCCATCCTGAGCTGAAAGCAAGAGCTGGGTGCTTAATGGACTCCGCCACCCAGGCGCCCCTTTTTATTCATTTATTATTATTTATTTATCTATTTGAGAGAGAGAGAGTGCACGCCTCTGGGAGTGGGAGGAGGAGCAGAGGAAGAGGGACAGGCAGACTCCATGCTGAGCGCAGAGCCCGACATGGGGCTCAGTCCCATGACCCAGAGATCATGACCTGAGTGGAAATCAAGAGTCAGACACCTAACCAACTGAGCCACCCAGGCGCCCCTCTATTTTTTTTAAGATTTTATTTTTAAGTAATCTGTATACCCAATGTGGGGCTTGAACTCACAATCCCGAGATCAAGAGTCCCATGCTCTACTGACTGAGCCAGCCAGGAAGCCCTATTTTTTGGCCTTTCTAATAGAAAAACTAGTCCATGTTCCTGTCTTTTGTGACAGGGTGGAAAGTTACTTTGTTGGGTTGTATACTAAGATGTATGTCTCTAGGTGACAGCCACCTCGTAGATGAATTTTTTTTTTTTTAAAAGAGGAAAAACTCGTTGAAACTTCATCCAGCTTCCTCCCCAGCTACTCTTTCTTCAGTATAACTGCATTTATACCAGTTACATTCCCTTGGGTACTTTTGTTATTTTTTTTCTGGAAGATACTTGTAGTCAGGGAGTTTCTATGGTAGGAGTTGCAAATATTTTTCCCTGGCTTTCTTAGATTTCACTTTAATATTATCTTCAACATGCAGAGTTTTTATTTTTATACAGTTGAATTTGTTATCTTTTTTGTATAGTTTCTGGATTTTAAGAGCTTAGCTTCCAACTCCACAATGATGAAAGAATTCTGTCATTTCCTCCTAGGGTAGTTTTACTGCTTCGGAATTAATCTGCTTGGAATTTATCCTGAGATCTATGAGGCCTAAATCAGTGTTTGAAGGTGGCTGCTCAGTTGAAGTTATCCCTACCATTTGACAAGTTCACCTTTCCTTCTTTTGATTTTTGAAATAAGATGTTTATCTAAACATTGATAAATATTTTTATCTAAATATTAGATTTTCATCTAAATGTTCCTTTATTCTTGGTTATTTACTCCTCGCCCTGCTTTCTTTATCTTCCCTCAATTATAGGTCATTGTTGTCTGGGTAGGAACAAACAACCATGAAAATACGGCAGAAGAAGTAGCAGGTGGAATCGAGGCCATCGTCCAACTTATTAACACAAGGCAGCCGCAGGCCAAAATCATTGTATTGGTATGTAGCCTTTGGGCCAGTAGTCTTTGATGTCATTAGGTCAGGTGAGGAATGTTTTTAGAAATATGATCACTCATGAATACAGAGAATCTTTAGGTGAAAGCAGTTTATGATACTCCTGAGAGGCTCTTCTCTGATATGTCCTATTGTCTTACTGGTTTCATCATTTCCCAGACCAGCTGAGGGAGTCATCTTTTATCTGCTTATCCTTGTTTAGAGGTTGTTGTCTCAGGTAGCCTTCGTTTTTGTTTTTTGTTTTTTAACTGTCTTCTGATAATTTTTTAAATCACATATGAAACTTGTCCTAGTCCTGAGTCTCTTTTTATTAGACTGGCTTTGGATTAACATAGATGTGTTGTTCAGTCCCACTGTTCATATGTTAAAGGTGGTATATTTATTAGAATCTCTGAATTCTCTAAAACATCAGAGATTCTGTTAGCAAAAAAATGGGTGCTTTATAGTCTTACTCCTAATAGAGAGTACTGCCCTTTATGGAGCTAAAGCATTAAATATTCACCGTCTCAGAGATAAATAGCTGTCTTTAAGTATGAAAGTTTACCTATAGATACTCGTAGCAAAACCAAATTCTGAATGAAATCTGGTATGTATTCAGTTCTTTAATGAGATGATGTTAAGAAGGTAGTCATTTATTCAACAAACATGAGGGTCACTATGTACAAGACACTGTCCTGGGTCCTGAACATACAAAAATGAGTAAGACATTGTCCCTCTCAAGGAGCACACAGTCTGGTCTAGTGGTAGATGGGCACAGCAATACAAAGAGAGAATTAGCATACTATATGCTAATAGGAGTAATTATACTGTATGCTAAGGGGAGAATAGGTTTTTTTTGTTTTGTTTCGTTTTTTAAGATTTTATCTATTTGTCAGAGAGCGCACGCACAAGCAGGGGAGCGCCAGGTAGAGGGAAAAGCAGGCTCCCTGCTGAGCAAGGAGCCTGTGCGGGACTCGATCCCAGGACCCTGGGATCATGACGGGAGCCGAAGGCAGACACTTAACTGACTGAGCCACCCAGGTTTTGTTTGTTTGTTTGTTTTGTTTTGTTAAGATTTTATTTACAGTGAGTGCACTCGAGCAGGGGGAGGAACAGAGGGGGAGAGAGAGGGAGGGTGAATGAATCTCAGTGTGGATCTGAGTATGGATCCTGATGTGGGGCTTGATCTCATGACCCTGAGATCATGACCTGAACCAAAACCAAGAGTCGGATGCTTAACTGACTGAGCCACCCAGGCGTCCCATGAGAAAGGGTGGATTTTAGACATAAAAGCTACGTTTGACTATAGTTTTTAAAGAATTCATTGGTCTCCAGACAAATGGAGAAAGGAAAGAAGGCATGACAGAGGGAGGGGAAAAAAACGGTGAAAGTCTTATACTTGTGTGTGTTTATTGGGCAAATGAAGGGGGGTGCTTGAAGAATTCTAGGGCTGTCATTGAATAAAGTTTAAGGCTGGGATGGTTAGGAGAAAGAGGTATGGCCAAGTCACATAGGGATTTGTGTGCCTTGATGGAGGAGTTTGGGTTTTTCTTTTT